TTGTGTGCATCCTCTGTCCTCTGTCACCCACGACCATGCCTCAAACTTCACCCAACCGGCCACCGTAGACCACTGCTTCTTCGAATCGGCTATTGCGACACCACCCTCTACCGATCTCGGCGTTTTGCTTGGGGGCACTGTTGCTGAGGGAGGCGAGAGCCATGGTGAGGGCGGCGGTGAGTTGTGGTAGAGAGTGTGCGACGGAGGACGATGGAGGGCTGGAGGAAGGAGCGGCGGGGACAGAGATACGCAGAGGTAGAAGATGGTGGTTCAGTGGCTTCAGAGTGGAGTGATGACGATCGGAGTTGGGCTAGTGGCGAGAGGAGCGGGGACCTGCTACTGATGGCGCTGATCAGAGGCGACGGAGGCGACAGCCCTTGACGATGAGGGTGCTTGGTTGTGCATTTGAGTGGACCATTGTTAGCGTCTCAACATCTGTGGGGGTTGGGATTGGGGATTATGGTGGCAGCCATCGGAGAAGAATGGTGAATCGGGAGCGAAAGGGAAGTGTGGTTGGGGATGATGAGCAGAGAGGGGCGGTTACGAGTGAGTAGTAACGAGGGAACCAGTGCCCCTGGGCTGTGGTTATGAGGTGTTTTAGACTAAGTGTTTCAGGTCAATCAAAGAAGAAGATGATGGAGATGGTGTTGTAGATAAACCCAATTAAATAAATCAAATTTCTAATTAAAACCCAATTTTAAAATCAGTTGCCCTAACACCACGTAAGCACGCACACAATTACGTGTTAGACACCTAACCAGTGACTACTGCCACATCATCAGCCCATTAACTCCGTTTGCCTATATTTAACGGAAGAGGCTAATTTGACTCACATAATTACAAGTAAGGATCCATTACAATTAGTTTTATAAAGAAGGACTAAATTGAGATTTTCGAACCAAACTGAGGACAAAATTGGGTATTAAACCTAATTATTAAATATGTAAATATAAATATAAATAAATTTTTACTTCTAAAAATAAAGACAAAATAGTTAATTGTACCCTACATCGTCCTGTGTGCATTAAGTCAACCCATACGAACCAATTGATTTACTTTTAGCTTATGATTGTTTTAGTAGATAGAAAATAACAGGTTTACTGTTTAAAAAGAAATATTGAAAAAAATAAAAAAGAATAATCATTCAAATCAAGAATGAAGTATGCAGATAAAACTTTCTCTTCTAAATTGCAAAGTAAAGCGAGGATAGTGAGTAAATACAACAGCTTAATTAATTAAATATATAAGTCTAAAATAATATTTTTCTTAAAAGCTACTAAGTTTTGTAAATAAATAATTAAAAGAAACATCAAAATAATAAATAAAAAAAATTAACTAACTTAAATTTTAATATAAAATAAAATAGTTTATTATACATAATATTATTATAGTTTTAAAATATATATTTTTTATATCATATTTATCAAATCATTCATATTTTTTTAGGTTTAAATAATTTTTTTGTTTCTATTTTTGTTGACTTTATCCACTGTGAAAATCATTAAATTTGGATGTCCAATATGGTCTCAATTTTAGTAATTTATATTTAATTTGCTTATTTTTTATAATATTTTATAAATTGTTAACGACACATTGTACATATTGGCAGTGTTTGAATGAACAGTTTAATTTTTGTTTATGTGGCCCGTTCAACACAATGTAAGTTGAAATTTGGTTAATAGCAAGCTCCCATATGGTATCTCATCTTTGTTCAACCTCCATTGCAGCACTTGAAAGAGAAAAAACAAGACCAGAAAACACAGTTGTGACAAGGATCCAAGTGCAGTGGTGGCTTTCGTGCATATGGTTGATTTGTGGTGGAGTGAATCTATGCGTGGAGATTAGTAGTTCAAAAGGATTTATTATTTTACTGATGGAAGATGCTTGAGGAGAAGACCGTACAAGCGACGTGAACTCTTCTTCGGAGCTTCCTCTAGAGATGAACGCAACGGAAATGACAAATAACACTCGAAGGAGAGGGAAGAAAACTCTAATTGGACCAAAAGTGAGATCGAACTCACTACAACTCAAGGATCTAGGATTTGAACGGTAGAAAATCCTAAAAACATTAATGAACCATAGAATGGTGAAGAAACCCTAATCTAAACTGATTAATCGGTAGGAACAAGTGATTGTACGGTGGAAAGGTGATAATCGAAGAATCAATCGGTAGGAAGTGAAAATAGACAAAGAAGAAAGCTTTTAATTAGTGAAATTGGAGGGAAATGGTGAAAAAAAAGGGAAAACCTAAGTGAAGGATGAAGATGTTCAGTGAAAATGGAAGAAAAGTGAATGAGGATAATGAATCTGTGAAGAAATGATGATTACCTTAAGGACGAGAGTCTCGCGAGGTAGCGAGAAGCTGGAGACGTGAATGAAGGCTCTCTGAAGCGCGAGAGAGAAAACAAAGCACATGAAGCTGTGAATGAAGCTTCACAAGTTTGAGAATGCGTTGTGAAAAGTGAAGACGTGGAAAGCTGACGCGTGCTAAGGTAATGAAGATGTGATAGCTACTGAGGCGCAGAGCAACTGAATATGTGGCAGTAGAGGAGTGGTTTAGTTGGAGAAGAGAGAAAGCTATGGAAGCATCATGGAGAAAATGGAAAAATGAGAGAATGGAGGAGTGTGCTTGGAAGGTATCTAGAGGCGGATCCCTATGACTCTCTAGCCTAGCTTTTAAGAGAGAATTAATTCTGGATTTCAGAAATCTAATTCTCATTCATTTTAAAAGTTATTAATACAATGGTGGAGATAAATATTTATAGTAACTCATGCTCCATGAAAGTTAAAATGCATATAAAATAAAGTGTAAAAGAAATACAAGAGGACAATGAGGAAAGTTTATCAGACAGTATTTCATCATTTGCGATTTAGGGCTTGCTCACGATGTTGATGGAGGCGTGTTCAGGTGACGAACATGGTGGCTGAAAGCATGAAGACGTTGTGGTGGTTCTAGTGAAAAGAGATGAAGGTTGCATGAGTTGTTGGAGACATAGTAACTGATGGTGGTGGCTAAGGTTTCTAATGTGTTGGAAGGTTGAAGATGATGATGTGACAACATCATATTGGTCAGATTTGTGTGTGGTGGATAGATATCATGTGGTGACTTTCTATTTGTCATATTCAAACTCACATTGTGTTGAATAGGACATGCAAGTAAAAATTGAACAACTCATTCAAATACTACCATTATGTATAATTTATCGTTAACAATTTAAACAATATCATAAAAAAGAATCAAATTGAACGTAAATTATCAAAATTGAAATCACTTAAAAAAAAGAATTTTATATTGAACAAAATCAATAGAAAAAAAGGATAAAAAGTGTACTTAATTTTTTTATTTCTCACAATCTTTCTTTTTAGAAAGATAATTCGAGAAAGAATGACTAAATAAATCTAGGAGATAATAAAAAATAAAGTATTGTTATTCTTTTAAGGAATTTGAAAAATGAAAAATTAGAAAGTAAAGTTTATGAATGATTTAATGGATGTGAAAAAAAATGTTTTAATAAATTCAAATATAAAATTATAATTTTGTCTTTATTATTAAATAATATAAACAATGTATTTAGTTAATGATTATTTTTAAATTTTAGAAATGTAATTCTTATAATAAATTGTTAATAAAATTAATGTGACTTTTTGAAAATAATTTTAATTAAATATTATATTGTAATAAAATAAAATTATTATAAATCAATTATTATTGTGATTAATATTTTTATTATGGGTATTTATAAAATTTTGAACATCCTAAAAAATAAGTAAAATAAGTTATGAAAAAAAATATCTAAATCTTTGCATAGAAACAATAAAAATTAAATTAAATTATAGCAATGAAGAAAAAATAATTGCATATGTTAATAATTGACTTTCTATCCAAATTCTCCTTTTCTTCTCTTTCAAATTGTTGCAAGTCCCTAGAAGAAAAACAAAAGTATCAAATCATTTATCACATATAATAAATATCCTGAAAAAAAATATTAATTGAAACAACGTTATTTATGAAGATGAAGTGTAGAAAATGAATTTGAGTGAATTTTAAAAAAAATTAATTATAAAAATACAACATTAATCTATATAATCTCATTTTTATCTTTAATTTTTCTAAATCCACTCATTGTTATTCTTGAAATTGATCCTTTACATCCAAAGACAAGCCATTTTCAAAATAGAAAAGATAGACTAACAAGGTAGGCAATTTAATACTTATAATTCTGGGAAGAAAAAGAGCGTCTAGTTGTATATCCTACAATTCAACCCCTTTCCTCGATGTCATAAATCATAATAATTCCTTAACCGCGTCAAGTTCCTTATTATTTCTCTTTCCTTCACAATAGGACAAGACACGCCACATAAATTCTAATTGCACATACGTCATCCCTTCCTTGCACTTTCCTAATGAGAAACCTACCATTTCCTTTCTTCACACTCTAATTCTCTAACCTTCCCACCCCAACATACCCTAATTCCTTCACCTTCAATCACACCATTCAACCTTCATAAATCCTCTCATACCAATCTCATTCAATCATATCCAATCCAATCCAATTCCTCTCTTCCCTATCCTATGCAAAATCATATCCCAATAAAACCATTCTCCTTGTCAAAACCCCTTCTCCAACAACTCATTCAAAATTCCAAAATACCCAACAACTCCACCAATTTAGTGTCACAATAATCACTCTTTGTTGCTTAACCAATTCTCCTTACCAAAATCATATCTTCTCTAGAGCTTGTTCACTTGTAAAAACTCCTTTTTTTCATTTAAGTGAATTTGTTTTATCTTAAAATCATATTTTTATAATAGATTACAATAATATACTATTATACAATTAATCAATTATAAAAAACACCAAACTTTCAAACAAACGCTTACTTATATCAAATTTAAAAATTCAAGTTAAGCTTCCGAATATTGTCCTTATTATAATTTTGCAAGAAGGTTTCTAATAATTAGTTTTTCTTTAAAACTAAAATATTAACAAAATAATATTATATTGCAAGCATAGATTTAGTCAACAACCTAGAAATGTTGAAAAAACTTAGACGCAAGGTTAGCACAGCCTTCACAAGTGGCCCTAAGAAAGGGTCCAAACCCTATAAAAACCCACCACCACCATCACCTGCATCTCCATTACCTCTTCCATTACTGTCAACAAAAACAAAAACAATGTCTCATACTAGAAAACATTCTCCTTTTCTGTTTCCGCATGTTGATTCCTCTGTTGTTCCTGATCCCTCCAATTTGTTCTCCCCAAACCTTCTCTCAAATCCACTCCCCACCAACTCTTTCTTCCAAAACTTTACCCAGAAAAATGGTGATCAACCCGAGTATATTCACCCTTACCTCATCAAACCCTCAAACTTTTCTCTCTCGCTTTCATACCCATCTCGCTTCTTTAACCCCTCCTTCACATACCAGGTCTTCAACCCTGATCTCACCATTTCTTCCTCTCAAAAATCCCACCTTTCCCATTTCAACCACACCATCTCTTCCCACAATGATCTCAGTGTCACTTTGGACATCCCTTCTTCCAATTTGAGGTTTTTCCTTGTTAGGGGCAGCCCCTTTTTGACATTCTCTGTGACTCAACCGACCCCTCTTTCCATCACCACTATCCACGCCATTCTCTCCTTTTCCTCCAGTGATTCCCTAACCAAGCACACTTTTCACCTCAACAATGGCCAGACTTGGATTTTGTATGCTTCTTCGCCGATTAGGTTGAGTCATGGGCTTTCTGAGATCACTTCTGATGCGTTTTCTGGCATAATTAGGATTGCCCTGTTGCCTGATTCTGATTGCAAGCATGAGGCTGTGCTTGACAGGTTCAGTTCCTGTTACCCTGTTAGTGGTGAGGCTGTGTTTTCCAGGCCATTTTGTGTGGAGTATAAGTGGGAGAAGAAAGGGTGGGGTGATTTGTTGATGTTGGCTCACCCTCTCCATCTTCAGCTTTTGGCTGATGGTGGTTGTGAAGATGTTAATGTTTTGAGTGATTTTAAGTATGGGAGCATTGATGGGGACCTTGTTGGGATTGTTGGTGATTCATGGAGTTTGAAAACTGATCCTGTTTCTGTGACTTGGCACTCTATCAGGGGTGTGAGAGAAGAATCCCGGGATGAGATTGTTTCGGCGCTTGTGAATGATGTTGAGGGGCTGAATTCATCCGCAATAACAACGAATTCGTCGTATTTTTATGGGAAACTGATTGCAAGGGCTGCAAGGTTGGCCTTGATAGCTGAAGAGATGTGTTTTCTTGATGTGATTCCTAAGGTTAGGAAGTATTTGAAGGAAACCATTGAGCCGTGGCTGGAGGGGNACCATAGAATGGTGAAGAAACCCTAATCTAAACTGATTAATCGGTAGGAACAAGTGATTGTACGGTGGAAAGGTGATAATCGAAGAATCAATCGGTAGGAAGTGAAAATAGACAAAGAAGAAAGCTTTTAATTAGTGAAATTGGAGGGAAATGGTGAAAAAAAAGGGAAAACCTAAGTGAAGGATGAAGATGTTCAGTGAAAATGGAAGAAAAGTGAATGAGGATAATGAATCTGTGAAGAAATGATGATTACCTTAAGGACGAGAGTCTCGCGAGGTAGCGAGAAGCTGGAGACGTGAATGAAGGCTCTCTGAAGCGCGAGAGAGAAAACAAAGCACATGAAGCTGTGAATGAAGCTTCACAAGTTTGAGAATGCGTTGTGAAAAGTGAAGACGTGGAAAGCTGACGCGTGCTAAGGTAATGAAGATGTGATAGCTACTGAGGCGCAGAGCAACTGAATATGTGGCAGTAGAGGAGTGGTTTAGTTGGAGAAGAGAGAAAGCTATGGAAGCATCATGGAGAAAATGGAAAAATGAGAGAATGGAGGAGTGTGCTTGGAAGGTATCTAGAGGCGGATCCCTATGACTCTCTAGCCTAGCTTTTAAGAGAGAATTAATTCTGGATTTCAGAAATCTAATTCTCATTCATTTTAAAAGTTATTAATACAATGGTGGAGATAAATATTTATAGTAACTCATGCTCCATGAAAGTTAAAATGCATATAAAATAAAGTGTAAAAGAAATACAAGAGGACAATGAGGAAAGTTTATCAGACAGTATTTCATCATTTGCGATTTAGGGCTTGCTCACGATGTTGATGGAGGCGTGTTCAGGTGACGAACATGGTGGCTGAAAGCATGAAGACGTTGTGGTGGTTCTAGTGAAAAGAGATGAAGGTTGCATGAGTTGTTGGAGACATAGTAACTGATGGTGGTGGCTAAGGTTTCTAATGTGTTGGAAGGTTGAAGATGATGATGTGACAACATCATATTGGTCAGATTTGTGTGTGGTGGATAGATATCATGTGGTGACTTTCTATTTGTCATATTCAAACTCACATTGTGTTGAATAGGACATGCAAGTAAAAATTGAACAACTCATTCAAATACTACCATTATGTATAATTTATCGTTAACAATTTAAACAATATCATAAAAAAGAATCAAATTGAACGTAAATTATCAAAATTGAAATCACTTAAAAAAAAGAATTTTATATTGAACAAAATCAATAGAAAAAAAGGATAAAAAGTGTACTTAATTTTTTTATTTCTCACAATCTTTCTTTTTAGAAAGATAATTCGAGAAAGAATGACTAAATAAATCTAGGAGATAATAAAAAATAAAGTATTGTTATTCTTTTAAGGAATTTGAAAAATGAAAAATTAGAAAGTAAAGTTTATGAATGATTTAATGGATGTGAAAAAAAATGTTTTAATAAATTCAAATATAAAATTATAATTTTGTCTTTATTATTAAATAATATAAACAATGTATTTAGTTAATGATTATTTTTAAATTTTAGAAATGTAATTCTTATAATAAATTGTTAATAAAATTAATGTGACTTTTTGAAAATAATTTTAATTAAATATTATATTGTAATAAAATAAAATTATTATAAATCAATTATTATTGTGATTAATATTTTTATTATGGGTATTTATAAAATTTTGAACATCCTAAAAAATAAGTAAAATAAGTTATGAAAAAAAATATCTAAATCTTTGCATAGAAACAATAAAAATTAAATTAAATTATAGCAATGAAGAAAAAATAATTGCATATGTTAATAATTGACTTTCTATCCAAATTCTCCTTTTCTTCTCTTTCAAATTGTTGCAAGTCCCTAGAAGAAAAACAAAAGTATCAAATCATTTATCACATATAATAAATATCCTGAAAAAAAATATTAATTGAAACAACGTTATTTATGAAGATGAAGTGTAGAAAATGAATTTGAGTGAATTTTAAAAAAAATTAATTATAAAAATACAACATTAATCTATATAATCTCATTTTTATCTTTAATTTTTCTAAATCCACTCATTGTTATTCTTGAAATTGATCCTTTACATCCAAAGACAAGCCATTTTCAAAATAGAAAAGATAGACTAACAAGGTAGGCAATTTAATACTTATAATTCTGGGAAGAAAAAGAGCGTCTAGTTGTATATCCTACAATTCAACCCCTTTCCTCGATGTCATAAATCATAATAATTCCTTAACCGCGTCAAGTTCCTTATTATTTCTCTTTCCTTCACAATAGGACAAGACACGCCACATAAATTCTAATTGCACATACGTCATCCCTTCCTTGCACTTTCCTAATGAGAAACCTACCATTTCCTTTCTTCACACTCTAATTCTCTAACCTTCCCACCCCAACATACCCTAATTCCTTCACCTTCAATCACACCATTCAACCTTCATAAATCCTCTCATACCAATCTCATTCAATCATATCCAATCCAATCCAATTCCTCTCTTCCCTATCCTATGCAAAATCATATCCCAATAAAACCATTCTCCTTGTCAAAACCCCTTCTCCAACAACTCATTCAAAATTCCAAAATACCCAACAACTCCACCAATTTAGTGTCACAATAATCACTCTTTGTTGCTTAACCAATTCTCCTTACCAAAATCATATCTTCTCTAGAGCTTGTTCACTTGTAAAAACTCCTTTTTTTCATTTAAGTGAATTTGTTTTATCTTAAAATCATATTTTTATAATAGATTACAATAATATACTATTATACAATTAATCAATTATAAAAAACACCAAACTTTCAAACAAACGCTTACTTATATCAAATTTAAAAATTCAAGTTAAGCTTCCGAATATTGTCCTTATTATAATTTTGCAAGAAGGTTTCTAATAATTAGTTTTTCTTTAAAACTAAAATATTAACAAAATAATATTATATTGCAAGCATAGATTTAGTCAACAACCTAGAAATGTTGAAAAAACTTAGACGCAAGGTTAGCACAGCCTTCACAAGTGGCCCTAAGAAAGGGTCCAAACCCTATAAAAACCCACCACCACCATCACCTGCATCTCCATTACCTCTTCCATTACTGTCAACAAAAACAAAAACAATGTCTCATACTAGAAAACATTCTCCTTTTCTGTTTCCGCATGTTGATTCCTCTGTTGTTCCTGATCCCTCCAATTTGTTCTCCCCAAACCTTCTCTCAAATCCACTCCCCACCAACTCTTTCTTCCAAAACTTTACCCAGAAAAATGGTGATCAACCCGAGTATATTCACCCTTACCTCATCAAACCCTCAAACTTTTCTCTCTCGCTTTCATACCCATCTCGCTTCTTTAACCCCTCCTTCACATACCAGGTCTTCAACCCTGATCTCACCATTTCTTCCTCTCAAAAATCCCACCTTTCCCATTTCAACCACACCATCTCTTCCCACAATGATCTCAGTGTCACTTTGGACATCCCTTCTTCCAATTTGAGGTTTTTCCTTGTTAGGGGCAGCCCCTTTTTGACATTCTCTGTGACTCAACCGACCCCTCTTTCCATCACCACTATCCACGCCATTCTCTCCTTTTCCTCCAGTGATTCCCTAACCAAGCACACTTTTCACCTCAACAATGGCCAGACTTGGATTTTGTATGCTTCTTCGCCGATTAGGTTGAGTCATGGGCTTTCTGAGATCACTTCTGATGCGTTTTCTGGCATAATTAGGATTGCCCTGTTGCCTGATTCTGATTGCAAGCATGAGGCTGTGCTTGACAGGTTCAGTTCCTGTTACCCTGTTAGTGGTGAGGCTGTGTTTTCCAGGCCATTTTGTGTGGAGTATAAGTGGGAGAAGAAAGGGTGGGGTGATTTGTTGATGTTGGCTCACCCTCTCCATCTTCAGCTTTTGGCTGATGGTGGTTGTGAAGATGTTAATGTTTTGAGTGATTTTAAGTATGGGAGCATTGATGGGGACCTTGTTGGGATTGTTGGTGATTCATGGAGTTTGAAAACTGATCCTGTTTCTGTGACTTGGCACTCTATCAGGGGTGTGAGAGAAGAATCCCGGGATGAGATTGTTTCGGCGCTTGTGAATGATGTTGAGGGGCTGAATTCATCCGCAATAACAACGAATTCGTCGTATTTTTATGGGAAACTGATTGCAAGGGCTGCAAGGTTGGCCTTGATAGCTGAAGAGATGTGTTTTCTTGATGTGATTCCTAAGGTTAGGAAGTATTTGAAGGAAACCATTGAGCCGTGGCTGGAGGGGACTTTCAGTGGGAATGGATTCCTGTATGATAGGAAATGGGGTGGCATTGTTACCAAACAAGGGTCCACTGATGCTGGTGCTGATTTTGGGTTTGGAATTTACAATGATCACCATTATCATTTGGGATACTTTGTTTATGGAATTGCAGTGCTTGCAAAGATTGATCCAGTGTGGGGTAGGAAGTATAAGCCTCAAGCCTATTCTCTCATGGCAGATTTTATGACATTGAGCAGAAGATCAAACTCGAACTACACAAGACTAAGGTGTTTTGACCTTTATAAATTACACTCATGGGCTGGAGGGTTAACTGAGTTTGCAGATGGAAGGAATCAGGAGAGTACCAGTGAAGCTGTTAATGCATACTATTCTGCTGCATTGATGGGTCTGGCGTATGGTGACACACATCTTGTTGCAACTGGATCAACGCTCACAGCATTGGAGATTCATGCAGCTCAAATGTGGTGGCATGTGAGACAGGGAGATAATCTCTATGGTGAAGATTTTGAGAGGCAAAACAAGGTAGTTGGTGTTTTGTGGGCTAACAAGAGGGACAGTGGACTATGGTTTGCACCTCCTGAGTGGAAAGAATGTCGGCTTGGGATTCAACTGTTGCCGTTACTGCCCATTTCTGAAGTGTTGTTTTCCAATGTTGATTTTGCGAAGGATCTTGTGGAGTGGACATTGCCAGCCTTGAACAGGGAAGGTGTTGGAGAAGGATGGAAGGGGTTTGTTTATGCACTGCAGGGAATTTATGACTATGAAGGTGCATTGCAGAGGAT